ACCGCTGTTGAAGGCCAATCATGTGGTTAATCATGTGGGATACTTTTTTTATTCTGGTGATATTCGGTCCATAAATTTGGAAAGTCAATCGTGTGCCATGAACAATCCCCAGAATCACTATATTTTTATGGATGGCCTAAACCATCTCCAAATGGTCGGTATATGTCTCTCTGTTTACGGGACGTCGGAGCAAAGACAAGGATCCATCCACTATTGGTTCAGGTTGAAAAACGGCGAGTCTCGTCGAGAACCTTTGGATCTCTGCCAGGTGTGGACTGAACATGTCAGGATATCAAACTTCAGTGGAACTACACAGGCATTAGCCACTTGTGGTTACTAGTATTTCCATGTATTTCCCCATATGTGCTAATATGATGATATCATATCATTTCATGTCCCAGATTGAAACTGGAAGCATCTGGGAAACATCTGGAACTCCATCCGATCCATTCGGACCTTTGGCCATGGCTCACAGCTCTGAAGTTTGAGCCTCACGGCTTGAAAATGCCACGAAACTACCAGTCACACGCGATTCTTTTGGAGATCAGCCCAGCTGTGGATTGATTGATTGACCTTAAATGTTCATGAATTTTCAACATTAATGGATGATTAGATAGATTATGATAGATCATGATAGATCATGATAGATTATGATAGATTATGGTGGATTATGATGGATTGGATATTAGATACTACATCCTAATACCAGTAGCATTTCCCAGCAGCTATGGATAGCGGATAGCGATCTCCGCCATGATGCGGACATGGTGCGACTCCAGCGAGCGTGCTGGGTTACCATGTTTGAATGTTCGACCACCTGACATGTTGATGTCATATTTCAACATGTTCAAAAAGCCACAGATATCGAGTTGATGTCATATTTTGTCGAAATTCAGCTCTACTGAGTTTGGATCAGGGGTTCAGTGATCCTTGCAGCATGGTGTTGCACCCAGCAATTATTTCACAACTTGTGACGCTATTACAGTTGGTTTTCGAGCAAAAAACAGGCACGCATTGATGCACAAATTTGATTACATGTTTTTTTCATCCCCATCCTGTTGGTCAATGTATCCCATTAATTCGCATTATATCTCTTTAAATCCATGGGATTTAGTAGCCTATCCTTTAGAGTTTTTGTTCCCGTTAAGTTTCCCAAAAACCTCATTCGACTCCGAGATTCGTGGAGATTCGTCGAGACTCGAGACTCGAGGCCGAAAGTCCGGGCCACGACTTCGCGCAGTTCCAGGAACTTGCACTGCAGCATTCGGATCAGGAGGTGGCTGAAGAGCTGATTCGGCAGCACCTGCACCATCTGGGCGTGTGGGGATTCCCGGGATTCCTGGGGACGACTTGGGGATGTTTCAGATGATGTCAGCTTCATGGTGATGTGTAAATGTTTCCATGTTTGATGATTTTTTGGTTTCTCTGTTTTTTAGACCAAAGATGGTGATCGCAGGTTCTACAGGGAACACAGCCACATATCATTCCTAGTATCAAAGCCAACTTGTCTCAGTTCACCCTAATTTCTCATGATGTCTTCCCCCGTTGTTCACCTCATTTCATATCAGCAATATAAATATGAATAACGTGTAGAGAGTGTGGGGTTGTCTTGGATGGGTCTTATTATTTTACAGAAATATATATAATAATTAGTCATCCTTTTCTTTTGTTTATGAGTATATATGATTTATCATCATGAACATATTGGACAATAATATGATAGTGGATGCTAACACTAGTAATCATAGTAGTGATACTGTTGTCAATGAACATCATCATCATCATCATCATCATCACCATCGTCATCATCATCACCATCATCACCATCATCATCATCATCATCATACTCATTTGCATCTCCATCATCATCATCATCATCATCATGTTCTTCTTCATTTCCTTCTTCATCATCTTCATCTTCATCTTTATCTTCATCTTCATTTTCATTTTCACCTTCATCTTCATCTTCGTTACCACCATCATCACCATCGTTACCATCGTCATCATCATCATCAGCTTCACCTCCATCATCATCATCATCATCAGCATCATCATCATCTTCTTCACCTTCACCTTCACCTTCACCATCATCATCATCATCATCACCATCACCACCATCATCATCATTATCATCATCATCATCAATATCATCATCATCATCACCACCACCATCATCATCATCATCATCATCATCTTCGTCACCTTTACCTTCGCCGTCACCTTCATCTTCATCTTCATCTTTTTCTTCATCTTTTTCTTCATCATCATCATCACCATCATCATCATCGACATCATCATCATCATCATCCTCTTCTTCAACATCACCTTCACCCTTACTTTCACCTTCGCCTTCACCTTTACCTTCGCCGTCCCCTTCATCTTCATTTTCATCTTTATCTTCATCTTTTTCTTCATCTTTTTCTTCATCTTCATCATCATCATCATCACCATCATAATCATCGACATCATCATCATCATCCTCTTCTTCAGCATCACCTTCACCCTTACCTTCATCTTCACCTCCACCTTCGCCTTCACCTTCACCATTATCATCATCATCAGCATCATCATTATCATCATCATCATCATCATTACCTTCATCATCACCTTCATCATCATCATCACCACCATCATCATCATCATTATTTTCATCATCATCATCATCATCATCATCATCGTCATCATCCGACATGTCAAAATTCCCTCGTCAGATGGATCCAGGCAAGACGATGTCCTGGAAGAGTTCTGGACGAAAGTCGCGCCGTGGCTGGGCTCTCAGTGAACGGCCAGGGGACCTGGAGATATCTGGAGATATCTGGAGGATGTAAACAATGGCCACGGAATGCCACAGATATGAAGCACAGATTGGATTGAACAGATCTGATCTTATTCTCCGAATACGGAGTAGAATCAGTAGAATCAGTAGAATAGTAGAATGCCGAAAGATGACTATTCACTGCTAGAAGGCCCAAAGGATGACACAACACCCAACCATACGCCCAGGGTAGGTGCCAATCGGCGATCGGGCCGTGGCCCCGGATTTTCCATTGAGAAACCATAAGAAAAACCAATGGAAAGGTGGGGCTTATCTAAGCACCATGAATTTCCAAGTCATATTGGGATATATTGGGATTATATGAAAATTGATGGCTGTGTAATACGTATTTTAATTAAAAACATCTAAAAAACACACCCTCATTTTCATTACCGTCTCACACGCTTCAACGGAATTTTTAGGTGAGAGCAGCCCAGATTCGCTGCTAATGGAGGTGGTGAGGCAATGGAAACAGGTGGAGACCTCAGTGTTGTCAACGATGGATGGAATTTACCCCATTTATGGATGTTTATGGATATTTATGGCAAGAAAATGTGGGGAAAACTTGTTTTAACAGCATTTGTTTGCATGGTTAGAACATATGGTTTGAAGATATGGTTTGAAACTGGTCAGCAGGGCTGTGGGTCGACATTCACTCAACAACACCGAAAAATCAGGCGCGGAAGCTTGAGCATGCCGCCGACACTTGGATGCAGTTGTGTTTGGTTGACTTACTTGGTCGTTTATTGCCATTTATTGTTTCTGATCCTTTTAAAATCCCTCCCAAACATGAACATGGTAGTCCACCCGGCTTAGAATTCCATCACAGATATTGCATTTTTTTGCCGAGAATTTAGACCATACACGTTCCTTCTGAAAATCAACACATTTGGGGCCGTTTCAAAGGGGAAATTCATACTACTGGGAAAGGATTGTTTCAATTGCCTAAGCTGAAGAGTTTAGCCAAAAAAGGAGTCATGGTCCGCTTTGTCCACAGAAACACTCCATATTCTTCACGTTTTTGATGGGACAAATGTTGATGTCACGCAAGGCATCTTCTGCGAACGGTGATTGGTCTTCTCTGGCCAAGATGAGGCAGTTGATGATGGGTCGCTGAGAGGGGTTTACTAACTTTGATCACGATGAATCTGGGGGTGCAATGATATCCAGTGAATTGATGGTGATTGTTTTTTGATTGTTTTTTTTAACTATCTCAGATCCGCTGGATGGTTTCAACTTCAACAAATTGCTGAGTTGCCATCAGTTGCCATCCTCAGAATCCCGCTGAAGCTAACAACTTTTGATCCAACAATGTTTCGATGGTGGACACCAGGTTACGAGCCCGACAGTTCACCGGGGTGCCTGCGGACGGTCAGTGGGATGCAACGCGGGTCGGAAGTCTCAGATTCCCCATTTTGGGAGGTGAATACCCAGCTGATAAATAGTTCAATGAATAATTCAATGAATAATTCAATGAATATAGTATAGTTATGTATAGTTATAGTATGATATAGTATAGTCCAGTATGTATATGAATATATACCAGTAGTACCGCACAAGGCGGTGGCGGAAGTTTCAAAAATAGGAGACCTATAGGAGAGGTTGGTGGTTGTGAATCAGGGATGGCAAAGCGAAGCCACTGATGGACCGAAAGGTGCTTGAGGTCTCCTCTCTTTCTCTCTCTTTCTCTGACTATCTATCTATGTATCTATGTATCTATGTATCTATGTATCTATGTATCTATGTATCTATCTACCGATCTATTTATCTATCGATCTGTCTATCTATCTATGTAACTTTCTATCTATCTATCTACCTATCTATCTGTCTATCTATTTATCTATCTATCTATCTGTCGATCTATCTATCTATCTATCTCTCTCTCTCTATCATCTAATTACCTATCTATCTATCTATCTACCTATCTATCTATCTATTGATCTATCTATCTATCTATCTCTCTCTCTCTCTCTTTCTTTCATCTGTCTATCTATCTATGTATCTATCTGTCTGTCTGTCTATCTATCTATCTAACTATCTTTCTACCTATCTATCTATCTATCTATCTGTCTATCTCTCTATCTATCTCTCTATGTATCTATCTATGTATCTATCTATCTATCTATCTATCTATCTCTCTCTCTATCTATCTCTCTATCTATCTATCTGTCTGTCTGTCTGTCTGTCTATCGATCTGTCTGTCTTTCTGTCTATCTGTCTAGCCATCAATCTATCTATCTCATCTACCCAGCTGGCCTCTCTCTCTCTCTCTCTTTCATCTAATTACCTATCTATCTATCTATCTACCTGTCTATCTCTCTCTCCCTTTCATCTGTCTATCTGTCTAGCTGTCTACCTGTCTATCTGTGATGCAGTGTCATTCAGTGGCATGTAGTGTGGTGTAGTGTAATGTAGTGTAGTGGAGTGTACTGGAGTGTACTGTACTGTACTGTAGTGTGACTTCGAAGTATGCTCCGCGCATCTGAACTTCCAAAAATGGTCCGAACTTC